GGGCCTGCTCCCCGCTCTGCTGCTGCGTCTGAGCCGCCCGGGCGAGCGGGCCACTTGCTTTTCTGCTCCTGGGGTGATGGAGGGGTGCAGCCAAAACCAAAATGCCTGCCCGCTGCATTTTCCTCTGGGACATCGGCATCTTTTCCCATCAGCTCTGTGCACGTCCCAGGCTTTTCTTCCCTGGAGTCTTCAGCTTTCCACCATCAGTCCTAGCAGAGGTTGCGCTTGCAGTTTGCTCCATACCCGTACTTCTCCCTGGAGAAGCACTTCTCTGGGCTGCAACCCTCAGGAGACCTTTGCACCCATGTCACCGCCCAGGCTGTCACCTGCACCAGCCCAGGAGGACCTGAGTTGTCCCCTCCATGGGAGTTTGCCCAGGCTGAGCACACGGGGCTTCATTTGTAACGCCCCATTAACAGAACCTGTATTTTTGTGAGATAGTTACTATTTTATTTATGCATTCTCTTGATGTAAATAATACATACTAACAAAGACTTTGCAAGTGTGCAATGCCAGTGTTTCCTAAGAAGTGCGAGAAACTTTCCAGCTCAGCTTCGCTCGGTCGAGGGCAGATGCCCGCCCCAAAGCACGGCCACCCCCTCCGCTGCCCACAGCCCCCCCCGGCCTGCAGGGAGCTGCAACATTGGGCACTTTGTCCTTGCAGACCTGCCCGGCAGCGCGGGCAGCAGGTGCGCTTGCGGAGAGCCTCATTAGTATGGAAAGTACATGGAAAATTAGAGGCAGAGAAAAGAAGCTCCTGGAGGGAGGGGGAGGGCTGTAAGCCTATAACATCTCCTCTAACAGACTATTTACTATAGCAGAAGTGTATGATTTATTTAGACTGTCTGGGAAAAACGCCAAGACTATATGTCATGGACAATTAGAGCAGTATTGATATACAGTGATGTCCACAGAAAGCCCACATTAAGCCTGGGTTCCTCTGGAAGAGAAATCCACCCCGGTCATTCATCAGAGCAACTTCCTGCAACGGGGCAACGACCAAAACTGAATGAGCTCCCAACAAAAATATAAATGAATTATGAACCCCCACACATCCAAGAGTCACTGGCAAGTGGTGGCACAGCTGATGCAGCTGCAGGCAGAGGCAGCGCTAGCGAAGAGTTTTCAAAGGGTTCAGCCGCACCTAAACCAACACAGCACACCAGGTCTTTCTGAGCATCCAGCCCCCAGGATGTTTTGCAAGATGCTCTGAGGGTTTGCGTGCAACACTTTCCCCATTGCTTGCATGCTGCTGGAGTACTTTGCCACGCGAGGACTGCTCAGGGCATCCCCAAAAAACAGTCCCAGGTGCTTCAACTCCTAATTCAGAGCTGAGTGCAAGAAGCACCTTGGCACTATATGCAAGAGCCAGCTCCAAGGGTGCTCAGCCGCTTCCCAAGGGGTCACCCACATGGGTGTCCCACAGCCAGGGTCACGCTGGCTCTCGCTGAGCCACCCCGTACGTGTCTCTGGGTGCGCATTACCCCGAGTGCAAACATTCAACACTGACCCTCCCCAGGAGCCTGACCAGCAATGCCAGCAGCCTCCGTCCCTCCACACACACTTTGCTGCTTGCTGCAGCCGCTGATCAGAGGCACCTAACCCCCCCAACGCATTTTGTGACTGTTTGGCCCCTCCTGGGCTGCGGTGACATGAATAACCCTGCAGCAAGCGCTGGCAGGTCATGGGCAGCATGGGCATGGGGAGAGCCTCGTGTGGGTAAAGCGCTGGGAGGAGAGGTGCTGGGTAACGGCAATGCCTTACCGCAGCTGAGCAGGAGGGGAAAAAGGGCTGGCAAAGCCCGTGCAGGCAAGGAGGGCACGTTAGCTAAGGCCCAGCTGAGTAAATGAAAGCTCCTGCTCCCACCTGCCATGCATCCAGGTGTTACACCAAGGAAACCCCAAAAGTGTATTGCATACAATAAAATCCCAGGCAAGGTTACTTTTTTCCCCTCTTCCCGCTGATGCCCCAGGGCGCTGCTCTGACCGTGCAAACCATCCATCCCTCTGCACCCAGCGTGGGACCAGCACCCACCCTCGGGGCCGAAAAGCAGCCGGGCACATCCGCAGGGTCCCTGCGGAGGTATCAGCCGCGTGCCGGCGACAGCACCCACTGCGATGGGACTGGGCACCCCGACACCCGGGAGGAAGGTGCACGGGCTGAATCCGCTATCGCTGGGGCAGGATATCCCCTGCAATACAAATGCAGGGAAATATTATAAACATTTACAGCAACGTAGACAAAACAGTCTCTTGTAACCTTTTAGCGCTGCCGAGAGCTTTGCCTGTAAGAGCTCTTGAGCCCCTGCCAAAAATTCTTGCTGTTTTCATAAGAGTAGGTGTTTTCGTCTAAGGTGCAGTCTGAGTGCTGTGACCTTTGTCATGTCTGCTACTGAAATTTCCTGCTTCTCTGTTATTCTCTTCTTAGGTAAGACGATATGAAACCCAAAACTTTTATTGCCCCTTTTAAAGCGTCTTTATAGCTCCCCGTCTACTTCATATACTGTCTTATTCTCGAACGCTGGGATATTACTTATGGGATCCGGGCTTGATGCTGCAAAAGGCATTTGGGTTTCACGAAGCCCAAACCGCCCGGGCTTTTTTTAAGATCAGCCGGGGCGGGGGCGGGGGGGAG